ACATGTATTAACTCATTATTTTCACCACAACTGTTTCAAGTTAGATGTTATCATCCCCATCTTACTAATAAGGAAACCAAACACAGAAAGGTTAAGTAGCTACCTTAAGGTCAAAAAGGATTCAAATACACATTTGTCTGGTGCTCTGTGACCACCAAGCTCATTCATATGATTTTTTGGGGCTTCCCAGGTGGTGCAGTGGTAAAGAATCCACCTGCCAATGCAGGAGATGCGAGCTTGATCCCTAGGTCAGGAAAATCCCCTAGAATAGGAATTGGCAACCCACTCCAGTATTCTTGCCTATAAAATTCCATGGACAAAGGAGCCTGGCAGGCTACAGTCCATGGGGTTGCAAAGAGTTGGACATGATCGAGCAAGCTAGGAAAATAAATAAATAAATAAATAAATAAATAAATAAATAAATAGTCTTTCAGTTCAGTTCAGTTCAGTTCAGTCGCTCAGTTGTGTCCGACTCTTTGCGACCTCATGGACTCCAGCACACCAGGATTCCCTGTCCATCACCAACTTCCGGAGTTTACCCAGACTCATGCCCATCGAGTCGGTGATGCCATCCAGCCATCTCATCCTCTGTCGTCCCCTCCTCCTCCTGCCCCCAATCCCTCCCAGCATCAGGGTCTTTTCCAATGAGTCAACTCTTCACATGAGGTGGCCAAAACTTGCCTGTAGATACTGTTAATCATTCTTTAGATTCACTGTTAACAAAAGGATTAAATATTTTTATAATATTTAAAAGTTATTAGCTTGTTTTCTTTGTTTTTAAAAATCTTCATTCTCCAACTTGTGTTGTTTTGCATTTGTTAAGCAAAGGCAAACATTTTCAGGTCATTTTTCAATTTCCCAGTTATTGGCTGTATTCCAGAAATTAAGTGGTTGTAGGCACATACTTTTTTTGGAAAGACAGACATTCTAAATGGAAAATCACAAGCCAATTTATTTACCATACAGTTGTGTTGAAATATTTAATATTTCCCATGGGGAAAAAAGAATACAATCTTGATGTATCAGTAGTCTACAAAAGGGAGTGGGGTAGGCACTGTATGAGAAATAAGCTTTTATTTTAACATCAAATCTTGCATTTGACCTTTTTTCACCCCCAAAATGTCATTCTTCTTTCTTTCAAAACTTTGAGGCTAATACTGGATTTCTTTTCTTGCTTTGCATCTAGTCCTTATTGCTTATCTAGAAACTTTACTCCGGGGGACTTGACACCCTACTCCATGCCTTTGTTGTTTCTTTCACTTTAGGAATCATGAGCTTGTCATTGCTTCATGCTTACTCCCTAACATCTCAAGGTGATTCCTGAAATGATTACAGGGAGGAGGTTCGTGTAGGAGGACAGGGCACATATCCAGATCCGTGAGTGAGGATCATCGGTTGATGTGAACAGTTCCATCTCCATATGCCAAGTTGATATGATAACCAGAAAGCTAAGATTCATCCAGCCATCACTCATTCATTCTGTTTATCCATTCTCCCATTTACTCACACAGCACTTGTGCATTCAGCCTCTATTACATGCCAGACATGATTTAAGTGGAGTGCTAAACTTGACATCAGGGATTGTTATGCTCACAGACCTTACCATTTAGTATTACTAATTGCTGGCGAAGTACTCCCACCCCCACTGTTTCCTTCTAATGTCTTCCTTGTTCTTTCTCTTAGTCTCTTTTCCCTTGAACATGTGAGACCACGAGTAGAGATCTTCATCAAAAGATTCAGTCTAGGCCTGTAAGTTTGGACAGACACCTTCTAGTGAGGATATTTGGGAAACATGGAGCATCTTTTTGCAACAGCAGCTGTATCCCAGTCTATGCTGCCAGCATCTTTACGAGATCTGGACAATTTCCTTTAATCACTTCAGTTTGTGGTCAAATGCTTGGATTCTTCAGGAAAGGATGTCATTTTATTCCTAAATCCTCAGCTGCTTGTCTGGTGTCCTTGTTAAATATCTGACTCAAGACTGGCTTTCCTGATATGAATAGCCCTTCCAAGACGTAAGAGAATAGCCACCTCGGTTTTGATAACTCTGTGACTCTCTTTACTTGACCTCCTGCCTTAACAATTTTAGGGGATAAATACCAGAAAAATTGATGGGATTTTTATCAGCTCCATGATTCTCTACAGCTTACAGTCAGATCTAATGATTTTCTCCATGACAAATACGATATGTCTTTATCGCTAGCAGGAAAACAACACATGGGTGGGAAGGTTTGTAGTCCCTAGGCTGCATGAATGCCATTTAATGAGTATGAGAACTGAATAGGAAACAAATCCCTCAGGGAAAATGATCAATAAACTCTTAGATCCCTAACACCCCAAATTCTCCAGGGCAGGCAAGAGAGGCAGGAGGTTCTTTGGGGTGAAGTGCAGAACACATAAGCATTCTGAGATTTGACAGAGTAGGATGGTCTTGTTCAGAGTGTTGCTTATCTTGCAGGGAATGAATAGAGCTTCATGAAAGAAAACTATCTAGATAAGGAGAGAGGGAAAGATAGGGTGTTTCAGTTTAGTGAGCCACTTTCTTCCACCCAGTAACTCAGAGAACTGATTTGTTCCATTAATAGCTCCCCCAGTGCCTCGCTTCTAGTAGACCTTTGTTTTCTAGTGGAAGAAAAAGGAAAAGCAGAATGGAGAAACCTCACCAGCTTCCTGACAGCCTTGGCCCGAAAGTGGCAAACATCACGTTTGCTCATAATCTAAGGTGAGTACTTGTCACTTGGCTATACCTGGTTTCAAGGTGGACTGCGCCAAGCCCTCTGGAAGGAGAGCACACAGTTTTTAGAGTCTTTGAGGCCGGAGGAAGTATATATGACTACATGGTTGTTAATGCCATTAAGAAATAACTTCAGTGTTTTCATGGTGGTCAGAAAATCATTCTCTCATAAGCAATTCTTAAATGATGTTGCAACCAAGGATCAAGTGTTTATTCTTCTCAAATATTCAGAAAGTACAGTGTCCTTGGTTGTAAACAAGCATCAGTTTGGGAATTATTAAACAATATAACTAAGCTATGTCGCCATCATTTATTGTTTACATCATTTTTGTGAATCTGAAAAAAATGCATGCAATGATAATAAGTCACTCTTTAGCTTAAAACGCCAGGGATATTTCATCTCAGCAAAACATCTAAGCCGCTTTCAGGGACTAACACTGCATGACCTAGTCCTTACCTACGTTTCCAGCTTTTCTCCCTACATGTCTCATTGAGTCACTGCACATTTGTCTCTCTAGCTTTCTTTTCTACCTTCAGTCCGAGAGAATTACAGTGTCAGGACCTTTGCTGCTCCTTTGCTTCAAGGCTGTCTTTTTCTCAGCATTGCGATTTAACTCAATAATCACTTACTCAAGAAGGCTACTTGGCTGCTCGATGCTGTCTCGCTGTTTCCTTTGCTACCCCGTCTTCTCTGTTTAAATGTCTGCTGTCTGACTCCTCTAGGGAAGATGCTGTTCTCTGCTCACTGCGATGTCTTAAGCATATAAGATAGGTAGCTGGCGTATAGTGGGCACTCGATAAATATTAGACTAAATATGAAATAAAGTTCCCTAATATCTTAAATATGATACAGATTTTCCCTTAATAAATTAGTAAATATTAGTTTTATTTGTAAGATAGGAAATCATTATGAAATCTAGACAGGTTAAGCAAAGGTTGGCTTTTAAGTGTATGTGTATGTGCAGGAGGGGGCACCTTTCTGAAAGACTATTATGTTCAGTGCTTATGTACATTATCTTATTTAAAAAGCAAAGCAGCCACCTGGGCAATTAACAATGATGCTCATTTTCTAGAGGAGGAAATTCAGACTCATTAAGTTTAGCAGGTTTTCAGTTTATTCAGAGAATAAATCAGTTGAGCTGTAATTCAGACCCAGATCTTCTGGTTCCAGAACCCCTACTCTTTCGACCGAGACACTTCCTTAGTCAGCAGCCTCCATGTTCTGAAACACTTCTTCACAATAGCATCACTTCCACAAAGTACATTTATTAAAATTTGCGGTTAGATAAATCGTCTGGGTCACTTAGGAATGAATCAATTAATTTACCAAACTACTAAACTAATGGAACTATTGGAGATATGGAACATACAGTAAATTTTCCAGTCCTCTGCTGGAAATCTAATCCTTTTCAGCATAATCGTTTTTTAGAGGTTAACATTAAGAAAGAGTGCCACCTTGTGTTCATTTTTATACCGGGGGGGAGGCACCACTGCCTTCTCAGAAAAGTTTTATGAAAGTGTGCTGATACGTTTGCATTTTATGCATTGTGTATCTTTGAAATTTATAGGCACCCAACATAAAATAACATTCTATGAAGATAAAGAAATATACAGTCTTGAAATACTACTCATAATTAGGATCCCCTTGTCTTTCAGGGCAACAAAAACCTGTCTTCTACTTTAGTAGGTACTCGTTATTTTTCTGATTTAACTTATAGAAAAGTAAAGTAAATACGTTTTAGGTCTATGTCTTATCTACTGTTGGAAACGAGGTGAAAACTTTAGGGAGAGTTTTGGGATGAAAAAGAAAATGATCATCGAGATAGAGGCTTCATTACCATTGCTGATTCTTTTTCTTTCCCAGATCAAAGACCATGACATGAGCTTCATATTGAATAGAAATAAGAATCTAATCACAAAATGACATTCTCATTTATTAAAAGCAAGCTTCAGGATTTTTCTCAAATTCAACCAAGAATTGGTATTCAAGTGTGAAATAAGTTACAAAATGCTCAGTCGGATCGCCTCTTGCAGAAATGAATACTCTACCACTTAATCTGCGATGCTTTTTCTTTTGTTGTGGAGAATATGGGATTATCTGATTATGACTGTTGTCTATTGTTCTTAAATGAGGTCCATCAAGCTCTGTGAAGATCATTTCCAGGAATGTGAGTCATGTTGGGAAGGGGAAATCTGTATAGCTAAGGAAGATCCTGTTCTAAGCTTGTCGTCTGCTAATTATTCTGTCTTGTTTTCTGTGTCTAAGGAAAAGCCTGCCCATTGAGTGCCTGAAAATGAGTGTGACTGGATGTCTTAAGGTGAGAGTAATAGGTAACACCTTGTACATCGATTTCAGCTTTAAAGAAGGTAACAAAAGGAATCAGAAAACATTTCTCTTTGAAGCAGTTACCTTATTTCCCTACACAAAAGTTAGCTGCTGTCTGTGCCAGCCGTTCCTCACGAGACCAAGTGAGCCTTGGAAACGGTGTCCTGGAGAGAGAAGAGGCCTGCCCTAGGCAGAGTCCTGGAGGCCCTGGGGCAGCACCAGCACCCCTAATGATACTGCATCGACAGAGGTTGATTGATCACTTTCGTGGTGTCCTGAAATTTCCAAGGCATCGTGGAATAAACACACTAGGTAAGACCTGGCCTCCCACAGAGATGTGGTACTCAGTTCCGGCTGGTCCTAGGCTGGAAGAAAAATTGATCTCCTCATTAGCAATTAGAGATGCTGCCATCCTAATTTGTCTGAAGTAATGAGCTTCACATAATTTAATTGAATTTCTGCCACAATCTGCTCTGTGCTCTGAACTGTGTTCCTCACAATGGAGGTGAACCAAGCATGATCTCTGCCTTGCTATTTACAGTCTAGAGTACACACAAAACAAACAGACAAAAAAAGATAAAAAGGGGCTTAAAGAGGAAAAGAGCAAAGTGAAGTAAAACACACACACACACAAATAAACAAAACCTGAAGGAAGGCCATTGTCCTTGCTGTGACTGAAGAGAAACCTGGAACAAGATAAGGCTGGAGAAATAAACATGGGTCAGATCACTCAGGCTTAGCGCCCTAATGCCAAAATATACAGGCATTGTGTATCAGCCAAACAAAATGAACATTTGCACACCTGCTGTGTGACAATTTCATTAAAGACTCACAACAACTCTCTATTTTCAAATGCTCAGTTGTATAGATGAGAAGTAGGATTTAACAGGATTACATCCTACTTAAGAGGATTAAATGCTCAACTTCACCAGAAAATGTGTGGCAAAGCATGGTGAAGAATCCAGTCTCTTTAGGTGACTTGAACATGAAATAGTGAAATATTTACTTGCCAAACATTTTACACACACACCTACACACCAAATAAATATATTCAAGAATCAAAGCAGTTGAAATATTTCCATGGGCTGTGGATAACAGGCTCACACGTGAGCAGCAGAGTGTGGAATCAGTGTTTAGGGCTGAGTCTGATACCAAGTGAGAGTCTGTCTAGTGGCATTTGCATCTCCTTTCCTCATTCCTCAGTCCTTCCGTATTTCTTGCCTCCTACATCTTCACTGCCTTTTCCCTGTACCCGCTTCTAATTCGCCTTTATCCATCCTTCTTTCTTTTCCTTCTTGTTCTCTCAACTGGGTGAGCATATTGTTGGTACTCGCTGCTTCCAAATGCACTATTTCATCTTTAAAATATTATAATCTATCATTTTCACGCACAAACAAGTTAGTAAAACCAACAACAAAAACAAGAATAGATCCAGCAAATAAATGGGTGGATTGGGACTAGCTCAGGGTTTCAGAGTCAAAAGACCAGCTTTGAAACCAGCCTAGACTGAACTTTTGCAGAACACGAGAAGCTCAGCTTTCCTACCTGTATGATGAAGAAAAATTTTGACCTTTTAAACTCACAGGGTCATTGTAAGGACCAGTTTGGATATTGGAAATGGAAGTGACATGTCACTAATGACAAGCCAGTAAAAAATACTACTACTTGCACTGCAGGTGATGAGACACTTCATCTGACCCATTTCCTACTGTAACTATTTTGAAAAGTTTTAAAATGAAGACTTAAACCACTGACACAAATAATACTTCGAGACATTTTGGCCAAAATCATCCTTATATCGTGACAGAATGGCATTTGTCAAATTGATTTTTCGTTTAGTAAGCAAACAACCCTTTACTACTGACCTTAAACAGCTTGGCATCCTGTTCGGCAGTTCACATTTCCTGGAGTGTTGTTATGGCGCCATCTGCTGGAAATTGAAGAGGTTGACACTAAATACAGGGAAATGATTCATTTCCTTTGTATTTCTTTCGCATGTAACAAAGTACTATGTGGTATTTAAACAATAACTCTAAAATGAGAGTAGTTTCAAGATTTATTAGAAAATCTAAAAGTGCAGAACAGTGTGTGTTATTATTGCTTTAATTCAAAAGTAGATTGTTTTAAATATATATATATTTGAGTAATTTTAATAAAGTATTATACATGTTGACATTTTTAATCTTAACAGTGTTTACTTTGGGTGGAAGAGAAAAATCTGAACTTTTGACTCTGTGTATTTTACTACGTATGTCATCTTTTGACCTAAAGTTTTATTTATTTAATAATTTTTGCTAAATAATTATTCAATCCTTCCAATGGGATTTATTGGAAGGTTTTATCATGTGTATATTATTACCTTCCCCACCTGTAAACAGCAGGGCTTTGCATGCACTAACTTTGTACCTGAATGCAAAAATTCCCACCACTTACTGATGTTGCAGTGTGACTGGGTATTGTCTACTAGGAGAGGGACTGGCTTATTTATCTTTATATCTCCAGCATCTAATACACTGATCAGAATAGAAGCACTCCATTTATATGTAATTCCTAAGTACAACAACTTGTGACTTCAGCAAGTTTTATAAAATTCCCTTCTCCCCTTTTATAGATACATGGAGAAATCGAATTAACTTGGAATGAAGGGGCAAAAAAGAGGTCATGGTAAAATAAAGCAAGAATGGGGTCAGTTATAGCCTATGAATTGAGAAACAAAATGCTAAAAGGAAAAGGAAAAACTTCATATCAAGCACATTAAAAATATATATATGTGAGCTGTAACTTGAAATATATTTAGGAACTGGAATTTCCAGGTGGCCTAGTCGTAAGGATTCTGTGCTTCCATTGCAGGGAGCACAGGTTCGATTCCTGGTCAGGGAATTGAGATTCCAGATGCTGTGTAAAGAAAGAAAGTGAAGTCGCGTCAGTCTCTTGGTGACCCCATGGACTGTAGCCTACCAGATTCCTCTGTCCATGGAATTTTCCAGGCAAGAATACTGGAGTGGGTTGCCATTTCCTTCTCCAGGGGACCTCCGACTCAGGGATTGAACCTGGGTCTCCTGCATTGTAGACAGACACTTTATTGTCTGAGCCACCGGGAAAGTCTGTTGTCAGGTTGGTATAAACTCCTGACGGGGTTTCTGCCATCAGCCATATGAGGTCACTGTGGGACCGCAGAGCAGGGCTCCTCACTTGCTTTGTGCTGGGCATGTCATTCATTCACACAAGCACATTGTAGAGTTAGTGAAGTACAGCAGAAAGCATGTTCGCTAGGAGAACAGAAAACTAGTGCTCCAAGCATCCTTACATTGTCCTGAAGAATCCCGGACGAGCCCCCAAGATGAAAGGTTGCTGCTGAACCAGAAGTGACACTGGGATTCGTGGCCTCCAGAGGAGAAGAATTCAACCTGGGGCCAGTGAGGAGGCTTGATCACTGGAGGCCAGTGAGCTTTTGTGTAAAAAAGTTTCACTAAAGTATAAAAGAGACAGAGAAGGCTTCTGACACAGACATAAAGGGGCAGAAAGAGTGCTGTGCTGTGTAGCATGACCAATAAATAAATAAAAAATATATTTAGGAATTATTATGATACAGTGGCTCTGGGAAGTAATATTAAAAGTATACTTACAAAATAAACATAAAACACCTTAAACAGCATTTGTGAGATAGTTAATGTATATGTTGCACATCTTTAAAGTATACAATGTGATATATTTTTACCTACATATACACCCATGAAATCATCATCAAATTCAAGATGGTGAACATATTGTCATCTCCAAAAGTTTAATCATCCAGATTAATCATCCATAAAATGCTTTGACTTGCTTAAAAAGCTGTGATGGCTCACCACCACCTGTATTCAACTCAGTTCAGTCACTCAGTCATGTCTGACTCTTTGTGACCCCATGGACTACAGGATGCCAGGCCTCCTTGTCCATCACCAACTCCCGGAGCTTGCTCAAACTCATCTCCATCAAGTTGGTGATGCCATTCAACCATCTCATCCTCTGTCATCCCTTTCTCCTGCTTTCAATCTTTTTCAGCATCGGGGTATTTTCCAGTGAATCAGTTCTTGGCATCAGGTGGCCAAAGTATTGAATCTTCAGCTTTAGCATCAGTCCTTCCAATGAGTATTCAGGATTTATTTCCTTTAGGATTGACTGGTTGGATCTCCTTGCAGTCCAAGGGACTCTCAAGAGTCTTCTCCAACACCACAGTTCAAAAGCATCAATTCTTTGGTGCTCAACTTTCTTTATGGTCCAACTCTCACATCCATATGTGACTACTGGAAAAACCATAGCTTTGACTAGATGGACCTTTGTTGGCAAAGTAATGTCTCTGCTTTTTAATATGCTGTCTAGTTTTCTCATAGCTTTTCTTCCAAGGTAAGCATCTTTAAATTTCATGGCTGCAGTCATCATCTGCAGTGATTTTGGAGCCCAAGATAATAAAGTCTGTCTCTGTTTTCATTGTTTCCCCATCTATATGCCATGAAGTGATGGGCCTGAATGCAATAATCTTTGTTTTTTGAACTTTTGAATCTTTGTTTTTTGAGTTTTAAGCCAGCTTTTTCACTCCCCTCTTTCACTTTCATCAAGAGGCTCTTCAGTTCCTCTTAGGTTTCTGCCAAAAGGGTGATTTCATCTGCATATCTGAGTTATCATGTTACACCTGTGTGAAACTTGATAACTTCATAAGGTAGTAAAGTATGTTTTTCCCTCTTTGCTCTGGGTGATTTTTCTCCCTGCTACCAATTCTCTTAAGGCAAGAATGTAACAAAAGTTTCCTTTTTCCTCTGCTTTAGGAGATTTTTATGTTGTGGAGCCACAAGGAGAAGTTTCTAGGCAAATTAAATACTAGCAATATTCCAGTTTTTCAAGCTTCTGCATATTGAGGGGATTTTATGGATAGTCATTCCAGAGGGAATGGATTGGAGGTGAGGATTATTTTGTTGGAGATCTGAGATAGTTGGAGCTGGAGCTATCTGGAAACATTTCCTCCGCCAAGACATCAGATGAGATTTCTATGGGTCTCGTGAATATCTGAGAACAATAGGGTCACAAAGAATTAGACATGACTGAAGCTACTTAGCACACACGCATGCACCTGATTTCCTGCAGAGTCTATCATGAAAATGCTTTTGGTGTTGAAACAGGTCAGAGAACTGATGAGGAAACCTGTAGCCTTGG